CGGCTTTCGTTACCCTGGACTAGGTACGTTAAGTAATTTTGGTATACTAAAGTAGGTTACCCTGTTGTAAAGTCGTTTTCAAATCTATCCAACTAGTATCGCTTTACTTGTTTGTGTACTTTTTATTGCAGTATTTATTTTGTTTTGGATACATATTATAATCATTCTACGAATAACCAATGATTCCAACTTTCTGTTAAAATTTAAAATTTCTTACTATTTATTTGTTCAGTTTTATATATCCATAGAATAGACAAAACATCTATAAACTTTCAGTATAGACATATACCTGATAACTACAACTCTTGCAAGAACCAAAACTACAATCACAAATTATAAGATGTAATCTTTACTTTGACTTACAGATAAGTGTATAAAGCTGCCAAAGTAGAGATTAAATTTTATGTCTGTGATTGTGGTTTTAATTCTTGTTTCATTACTTTTTGTAGCAGGATTCCTACTTCTTTTTAAAATTCATAGTTTTTTAATACTCTTGTTTGTTTACTTTATATGTTACCCCTGTATAAAGTATATACTTTACCTTTAGAAACTGTCGCATGTCTATTCATTGATATGTTTCGCCATCTGTTGGTTTGAATTGGGTTGAAAAGATATTTAAATACGCGCATGATATTTTTATAATTTATTTATTTATCGGAATACCAAAAGTGGATATCCACAAACTAGCATATAAGCTGGAGAAATCTTGTAGCAATAGTTTGAGCCGTCTAGGGGCTAGCCCCGCTGACATTAGGTAGTAGACGAAAAAGTTGCTGTCTTAGAAATTTTTGAATTGTCATATATATGTTAGCGACCTTTTTGGCGTATTATTAGTATATATTTGCATAATATATCGTAACCAATACTTTGAATGGGCAGTTTTTTGCTTAGGAATGCAATAGGGTGGTTTTTCGGCGCGTGAATTATTTGGAAACTTTGTCGATCCCTACTATTAAGTACTTAGTAATACTTACACATTACAGCAGACAGGAAGAAGGGGTAATATAATATTCCAGAATTCGCCGTTATATAAAAGAAAATATTAATATCGAACACCCAGGCTGGGAGTCAAGTAGACATTTTCTGGTGGATTGATTTCTAAAAGAAGCTTTTCAGTATCCATTTTTATTCGATTTCGGAGTAGAAATCATAGCACTTTGCATTATCTGAAATTTTAATTACCCATCAGCTTGAACTAATTCATAATATTTTCCAGGCTATGAGTGAGTAAAACTTATACCCCATCCAAATCCCACACAAAACACGGTAGTGGCTGTACATGTTATGCAGTAGGAAATATAGCTCCTCAGTTACATAAAGCCATTTGCTCATCGGATTTCGCACGTTCTTTCAATAGAGATGGCTGGGGAAGGCTCAACGAAGCTTACCTGTCGTTTTATGGTGTATAGGTGCATTATCTGTCACAGGGTAGTAGGTGTGGTTGTAGTCATGATGCACTGATGACATTCAAAGGGAAAGAGGTTTAAGGAGGAGTATAGAGATGAAGGGTTTCCTTCTGAACAACAATATGAGTCACCTAAATCGTGTCTCTAAGCAGGGAATGACAAGTTCTTTGTGGTATTCATTATCATGACTGCCAAAAAAAAATTTGTGTCTACGAGAATTTCTTAAAGTGCTATAAAAATTATTTTATATTACTTGGTCTCTCAGTTCCCATTCGTCACGATGCATGGACCATTAATGTGTGCAAAAGCAGTATTGCAACATTTCCAGTCATCATTGTTTTCTACGTGGTATCGGAATTGCAGACAAGTACTAATCTGTTGTGTGAAGAATGAGATAACAGTAGTAGTACTAGTAGTAGAGGAACATATGAAGCAGTAGTAGAAGTATCAATAATAGAAGCAGTAGCATAAGGCCTTACTTATTGGCACGGCACATAGAGAACGTAGACCCATCAACGGTTTTATTTCTGTTTTAGACTAATCAGGATCTAATATTCATAAGTACTTTCTATTTGACTAATCATGGTACGCCAACATTAATAATTCGACTTTTGCAAGTGGAACATGTACCAGCCAACCCCATAAACTCCGAAACTTTATAGCTGAACACTATCGAGAGGTAAGTTTTTTTGGCAGTAAAATGTGTTTCATTTGGGTTTTCAAATCGATTTTTTATCATAATACATTGTTTGTTTCTAGCTTCAATAATTAAAAACGAGAAACTCTCTCTAGCTTACCTCATCTCCCAAATTCGAGTTCATTAACTCGCAGTCTGGGTGTTAATTAGTTAATTTTATTTAAATATTTTCGATAACCTGCAACGATGTTTTAGCATCTATTTAACATTTTATCGTTATACTGTATATTCTAAAGTTGTCCTTAAGGAAAATCATCCCTCATATGGCACTGAATTTTTAAAATGTCATACACCAACTTTTTTATCCCTGCTACCAAACAGTTACCATATAAAAGAAAACAAAATGCATGAGCGTTAGACAGAGCTGTGACGGGTTCACTCTTAAGCTCTCTGTACTAGTTAATGTTTTTGGTTTGTTTTGATTTTACGAATACGTGTGGCTATAACTGTACTATCAGTTTCATGTCTGTTTATACACAACATTTTTGACGTCGCTTTCTCTGATTTTTTGCTCTAAAAGAAAAGGTTTCTTGTTTTAACTTATCTAAACTGACAAATTCCTTACATTTAATTTAGCATTCACGAAGAAATTAATCAAACTTTCTCTTTTGTAGATGTCTTGTTCCTTTCTTCGTAACTCATAAGTGTTTTTCTACCTGTATAAAATAATCATTATCTATCGTCTTCTTGCCAGAGGATATCAAATCTATTCGAATAACCAAATTCTTCACAATGAAAGTTATTACTTAACATATTGAAAAAAAAATATGTAGGTTTAAAGCCTGCTAGAAAAAAAAGTCAGCAAATTCTTAAGCACTAATTTCAAATCAAAATCTA